CTCCCTGGTGAAAGCCGGTGTTTGTTGGACCCATCCAACACCCCTCCCACCCACCCTAATCAGACCTTCACCGCTTTAACTTCTGTTCTTGTCCAGATGTCTTTCCCCCTGATGCCGCCTGGTGCAGTTTAACAATAACGACGACCGGCTGCGTATCATGTTGAAGGACAGGACAGCTTTTTTCATTGGTGTCTGATGCTGGAAGTCACTAACCAAGCACCGGTTTTTGATGATTTCAGAGTGAGACCAGGTTGTACAGAAATATGTGAAATGGACACGATCTCTTAACAATGCATTATGTAGTGGTGGTCATGCAATGTGTTAAAATGACATACTAGGAGCCCCAAAAAAACAAAGTCTGTTACAAACAGTAGCAGTTTTGTTGTGACATGGTCATAGTTTAGTTAAGTTTAGGGAAAGAAAAAGTACTTTTACTTAACCTAACCTAAGTTTAGGAGAAAAATCATGGTTAATATAACTACAGTACATATGGGAGTGTATAAGTGACTTCCTTACTTTGTGTAGTTATGTAAAGTACCTACATAAAATACTTAATACTGAAGGCCATAAAGTCACAACGTTGTCTTTTGGTTTCACAGAAGACATGAACAGTGGTCTCGTGGTTGCAAGTCCATGTTTGCTTGATTCATCCACCTCCCCTCTGGTCTGCCCTACGCAGACTTTCTTGCTCTTTATGCTTAACTCTTGTGTCCACCACAACTTAAGATCCTCACTGACTTTGCATTGCCACTGTTTTCATGTCGTCAGCATATCATTTTAACATGTTATGCGCCTCCACTACATAACACATTGTTAAGACTTCAAGTCCATCTCATGTATATCTGTGAGACTGGGTTGTTTATTGCCCATCTTTTGTTCCTTTAACAACACTGTCTGGGGAAACACAAATAGTGTTTCTTTTGTGTTTTTGTTTTTTCCCCCACTATTTTTAGATGCTCAGTTTGGTTAACACAGCCTGCTTAAACCTCTTATTTACTTTGGCTGGATATTAATGATTTTTTTTCTCTTTTTTGTACAGAAAGTGGAGGCTTGAGACATTATTTGGACTTAGTTCAAAAGACTCATGAAAGTGCATCATAGGCAAGGTGTGAGAGTCTTTGACTAAACCTTAAAACACATTAGCAGAGTACACAGAGATACATGGATGTCCACATACTTCAAGAGAAATAGGCACGAGTTGTACTCCAAGAATACGATGCGATACAATGTCGAGACTTCTCTTTTTAACCTCCTTGAGCAGAGGGTGGAGGTGGAGTGACTTGTATGCCATGAATATGTTGAGCGAGTTATTGTAATTGTCTCTCTTTTCCACACTAGAATTGAGGAAATCCACAGAATTGATCAAAAGTTAATAAAAGGCTTCAGCTTTCTAGTTACCCAAATTAAGTTTGTATTTTTGTCCTGGTGGTCTTTTGATCTCTCAACACAACACTGTCAGGGGAAACAAAAATAGTGTAATTTTGACAGAGGAAACAGAAGAAAATGACAATTACATACCATAATCTTACCTTACTTACCATACAACCCAATTAAAACATCAAAGATCATTTTTGGCTGCAGCAGGGAGATTTTGATTTGTCTCCATGATGTTTGTTTCAGGCTGTAGTTGCCTGCCATTATACTGTGAAGTAATCCTGTCCCTCCCCTTGAATATTTTAAGTATACTACAAAGAATCTGTATAAAATGTGAGGGACAAAAACTCAAACATTGTCTTCATACACAGGACATGAAAGTAGATTTTTAAAGTGCATTTTAATTTTGTTGAATTGTTTAAATTCCAGCCTGAGTCTGCTACAGAATCCAGTGAAGTGAAGGAGCCTCACATGTTTCACTGCAGTAAAAGAAAGCCCCACCCACCCCAAAAACATCAGGGGACTCCCGCTGACATGAGAAGCGTACCCCAGTTTCTCCAGTCTTTGTGTGCTTTAGTACCGCACTGCAGCGCTCAGCTCAGCTCGTTCTGTATACACTCTGTGGATCTGTCTCCTGTTAAACCGTGTCACTGGACCCAAACTGTATTTGTATGCCTGGGGGTGCTTGTTTAGCTTCCTCTAGACGAGCAGGGGGTGGGTGGGGTGTATGGATCGATGTATTGATCCGTCTCCTTGTTGTCTGTTGGCTCACTGCTGCATCAAATGCTCAAGATTTATGTGTTTGGTCTAACCTGAGGATCTGTCCATGAGTGAACTCTTTATGATTAGGAATTTGTACTCGAGCATGTATATGTTTAATGTAAATTTATGTGTTACTGTTTTAGAAGAATTACTGCAAACAGATAAGAGTCTGATGGAGTTATTGGTAGTCTGACACCAGTGACACACTGATCTGATACATTTACATACCTCAGCAAGTGACACTGACCTTATTAAAGGATGTTTATCAGATACGATCAATCCACTGTGAATACAGTTTTTCTGTCACAGCAACAATTATAAATTTAGAAATTATAATTTTATAAATCTTCCTGATATAAAGATCAAGACTACATTGTGTGTCCTCTGCTGTATAGCTCTGTGTGTGAAGGGGAGACACTACAGGTGAAAAAATATTTGTTTTAATGCACTAGTCAGTTTAAAGATTTTGGGCCATTTTGCATCAATAACATGTCTCCTTTCAGTATACAGTGTAAAGAAAATGGCGAAATGCCCACATTTAACCTTAGATTTCTGTTTTGGAAATTTATACAATAGGTGCATATTACATTAGATAATGCATAATTTGCATATTTAATATATTTAATATTTTAAATTATTGTCTTAGGGTGCTTTCACACCTGTCCTGTTTGATTCGGTTCAATCGAACTCAAGTTTATTTGCCCCCTATTGCGGTTCGTTCGGGCAGGTGTGAACACAGCAATTGCACTGTGCTACAACAACCGGACTGAGACCTTCTTGAGGATGTGGTCTCAGTCCAATTCACCCTTCGCTAAGGCCCGCCCCCCTTAGTTACTGTTGCTAAGTCTGACAAACTTTTGGTTTTGGAGCTAGACTGGCATGACGCTCTTACTGTCGCTAACTGCACTTCCTGGAGAAATACTCTCAAAAAAGTGATTTCAGACAGAAGCAGACAGAAGGGTCCACAATATGCATTTGAAGGATATATTCAGGATGTCAGACTGACACAGCAACAAAATCAAGGTAACAAAATTAAGATTGAAGCTAAAGCCTACAGATCACAGTGTAAAAGTGAACCACCACATCACTGCTGATCGCCACAGAAGACAATGAATATAAAGGGAAACTTTGCTGATATTGAACCAGCTGTGTGGCATCACAGTGTGTGCAGATGAACAGTGTTTAGCTTCACCCCCGTGCCGCTCCCAGCATTCAGACTGGCAGCTGGACTGTAGGGGGGCTGCGGAAGAAGTCAAACAACATTCATCTCCGCACAGTGCGATGACACACAGCTGGTTGAGTGTCAGCAAAGTTTCCCTGCTTCCCTTCACTGGTTCCTGTACAGCAGGGTCAGTTATTAATCATTAAAAAGCAAAAGCGTGTATACATTCAGTAGGCTATATCTTCAGCAGCTAGCTAGCTAACCTAGCTAACCCTACACTTTTCAGGGTTTGATTTTGGTTTTGGAACAGGAAAGAAACATATATCTCCTTCCAACCTCTCCAGGTATCGTCAAGTATCATTAATACACGACGTGCCCCAGGCACAACATTTAGCTCCAAATCCACAAAACCAGCTTGAAAATGAAAAAGATCTGAAACGACTGCATTACAGTCAATGGAGCACAGCTGTGTTGTTGTCGGACCCTGGTCTGAGCCGGCCTGATGCTACGTTATGATTGGCCAGGCAGCGTCTGGGGGCGGGACTTAACAAAGGGTCAATTACAAACAAACTTTGGTGCGGTTTGTTGAACCAACTGCATTCGCATTACACATTGTTTGGGTTAAACAAGCATGACCATGGTACAGTCCTGGAGGATTATTAATGTGTGCCTCCTCCTTTACTGCTTTAATATATGCATTCAGCGCATCCAATGCATCAAAAAGAACAGAACCAACTCTAGCAATTTTGCAACTTTGTAACAAATTTAGTCCCTGATTCAGACCAAAGCAAGAAACCTCTAGGTCTGATAGCAACCTTAATATAAGTAACCAACAGGGGATGTTTCATGGTGTCTTAGTGACATTATTAACCTATTCAAATGTATGAATTTTTACTATATATATATATTTGTATTTTTAGGCCATTTCTCAAGATGAGTTTTTTCTAATTCTCTTTTACAGATGACCTTGTTCATATATCTTTTGTAGCCTGATTTATATGACATTTTATTCCAAAAACATGCCAAAAAATGAGCAAAGCATTAGTTCAGAACACAATGTTTTTGACCTCAGCTCACATCCCAGCTGCACCAGCTGATCTCAAGCAGCTCAATCAACTGATGGATCAGCTGATTGATAGAAGGGAGTCCGCTGATAGATCACATGATTCCTTTCTATGCAATCAATTGGCAAATCTCATTCAGGGCACCCTATTTAAACTGCACTGGCCTGTCTACTGTTGCTGCTTCCTCTGCAAGCTGCTTTGCAACCCGCCTCCACCCCAGCTACTCCTTTTCATTCTGACTTATCAATGTAATTTCTGTTTGTCATTGATTCTTCTCTGTTCTGTTCCTGGGGGTCTTTGCTGCTGGTCTCCCTGCCCCAGGCTTGCCTCAAATCTGTGGGAAAGGGTATAGAGGTGTGCTCTCTCTACCTCAGGATTTCATTGGATGCGCATGGAAGGGCACAGCGATGTGCTCTCTCTTTGTATATCTATATCTATTTTGTGGCTATACATTACAGCCAGATTTCTGATTATGGACTGATAAAATCCAAAATTCCCTCTGTAAAAACTTTGACAAAAACATAATTGACTATTAAGTTAAATATTTTACCTGAACCATCTAAAGTGCCTCCTCTTAAAACTTTAAAAGGTTGTTCTGATGTGAATTCCATAATTCGGATGTTCTCTTATCTTTTCAGGGTAGTTATCCTGTCTGGGACGACTTCATCAGCAAAGCAAGCAAGCTACAGTCACAGCTCAGGTAACGAACGCACACACACACACACACACACACACACACACACACACACACACACACACACACACACAAAGCATTGGCTTTTTTGGCCGAGATAACTCAACATGCTTAAACATGCTCATTTGCAGAAAGCAAATGAATAAATGAACGTCACCACTTTGAAAACACAAGCATCACATTTGTAAAACACAACAAACTCTTATTTCGGTACCAACAGAATGTCTCACCTGACCAAAAGTCTGTCCATCTTTTACTTGACATGTTTTTACTTTATGAATAAAGCTTACTAGCTTTAATGGAACTAGAGCACTCGTTTCTTTATTGTTTTGAAAAGGATCAGATTTATAGACGTCTCTTATAGCAGACAGTTTGACTTTTCATAGCAAGAATAGCATAGGGGCACTGATAACACTTACCATGGATCTGTTCCACCATTAATTACAGCGCAACAGTGAATCTGAGGGTTCAAAACATGTAGGTGATGTTTCAGATGTTCAGACTGACACTCACATTTGTTTAACTGATGTTCAACTACACCACTGATGTTATTACTTGTTGGCTGTTTCCACTTGGCACAACGTTAAAAGTGAAATGTTCACACAGGTAGGATACACACAAACACACACGTATGTTGAGGTTCTGCATAACCTGAGCTCATGAAAATCCAATCACTCTGCTTCATTAAGTGTTTAAATGTCAGGCTCACCTCTCCTGTTGCCTCGTCCCTGACACACACACACATATACACACACACACACACACACAACTCAATTAACCTTGTGTGGCTGGCAGAGATTAATGATGCCACCATAAAGTCATTATCAGTGAGATGGATCAGCAGCAGCCTCAAGAAATTCTGCAACGGCCCAGAGGTCACCAGAGGTCACAACTGATTACAAACACTCTGACTGCACCCTGCCTCCTCTTCCTTACCACACACACACACAACAACATCTACACAGAATTTGTGTCCGAGAGTAAAAAACCATACCATAATGCTTTTGCATGTTTTATCCTGTCACCTGCTGCCAATCATCTGTAACACTGACTGACTCCAGTCATCAATTTTTTTTATACACATCATGATCAAGGTAAACTTCAGATATTACATGAACGTGGTGAAGTGAGATGTCAAAATGAGACGTGATGACAAGAAACATTTGGTAGAACAGAAGAGCAGACATATATGAAACATTAGCAGCAGTTTATATTTCAGGCATGGCACAGCAGATTTTGTTGTACTTCTTGTGCAATGACAATAAAGTCTGTTCTAAATTCAAATTCTATTCTATTCATGTTTAACCCTATGGGCCCGTACGATGCAAAGTGCGTCCAAATTCACACCTGTTCTTCTCTATTGATTTTCTCCGCGACCGTGCGTCATAGCGAGAAGCCAGCATATCTTGAAACAGCGGAACCGCAGCTTTCCGACAAGACCAAGCACTTGTCAGTAGTCCAATGTTTTCACAGCAAAAAAAAAAAAATATAAAGTTACACTAAAATTACGTATAACAAAGCTTTCATACAGTTTTGCACACACATGACTCTTGGATGGATTACTCGCGAATGCCACGCATATCACCAGAGTTGGGTATAACGCGTTACAAAGTAATGGTTGCCTTTAACGGCGTGTGTGATGTCATCGGGTTATTCTTGTCCTGTTTTTATTACTTTGACTATTATTTCAGTGATTGTGTCTGTTCATGTGCCAGCCGACATGTTGTTGTAGTCACCTAAAAGCGTCAGCAGATGGCAGGAGCTACATTTGAAGCGCCATAAGTAAACTGTCAAGCTACTGTGTCTTTCACAGGAAGTTCTGACAAATGTTTCAGAATAAACGCCTATTTAGAAAATGGAGGGATTCTCTAGCCGAGGTTATAAGGGGCTTTTAATTTGAAACAAATGTTGAGTTTGAAATGACGGTGCGATATGTTAACTTTACAAAGACAACGGAGCGGATAAAAAGTAAATATATAAACACACAGAGGGATTAATAAATAACGGACCATCTATAATGTAGTCTGTTTCAAATGAAGCTGGGAGACTCTGCAGTTGTGGTGAGTAAAAGCCCCGCCGCTATTTGTTAATGTTATTACTTTATGTCCGACCGTGAGGATGTACCATTGTTTGCTAGCTTGATGCTAATGACAGTAACGTTAACTCAGCGGGTTGACATAGTGCCTCTGCTGTTTCACACCATCATTTCCCCCTTTTACTCTGTGTGGTAACATCCCTGGAGGAAGTATTAAAAATGCTGGGGTGTTGTCATACAGTTGTCTACGGCAGCAGGTCGTTCTGTGTTTCTACTGGTCAAAGTGACGACTGTGATGGGAGAATTGGATCTCAGTGAAGGTCAAGTGGTCCATAACTTTAATTTTGGAGACAAAAAAATGTAGGCTTAGCGCCCTGTGGTCCATTGCCCAATAGGAAATGTAGAATACTTAAAAGTACTTTAAGTTTAAGTTAAGTTTAAGTTTATTCACTTTATTAATCCCCCTGAGGGGAAAATTAATGTTTTCACCATTGCTTGTCAATTACACACAGGTACGAAAGACACACACATGCACAAACAGGACCTATACATGCACAAAGTGGAGAGATGTCAGAGTGAGGGGGCTGCCCTTTGGTCAGGCGCCCCGAGCGGTTAGGGGGTTTCGGTGCTTTGCTCAAGGGCACCTCGGCAGTGCAGGTGAACTGGCACTTCTCCAGCCACCAGTCCACGCTCCATATTTTAGTCCGGACGGGGACTCAAATAGGCGACCCTCCGGTTCCCAACCCAAGTCCTTATGGACTGAGCTACTGCTGCCCCAGAAAAGGAACAGTGGTTGAGTTACTTTTCTCAGGGAGTAACGTTGGAAGTACTTTTAAAGTAATTGAGTTACTTTACTCAGGGAGTAACACAGTAAAGTAACTGGTTACTTTTTAAAAAAGTAACACAGTAAAGTACTTGGATTACTTTTAAAGTAACCCTTACCCAACACTGGTAGTAGTGAGCTGAACAGGGATGTGAAATGATTGCTTAAGGTCAGAGTTGCAGGGTGTGTTACAGTCTCCCTCCTGTGGTGTTCAGAGGATGATTGTAAACAGATTACTGATACTATTATTTCAATCAGGTGAGACAGAAGAATGAAGTAAATACAATATTTAATACATAATATGAGTGTACAGATTAACAGATGATTTGTGCTGAGTAAGATATAACAGCACTCAAATGCCAAAGGGAGATATTTTGTGATTGAGGGACATCTGAGTGGCAGTAAGTTAAATTCCACCATGGCTGGTGGTGGTGGCTGCTAAGGCTGCTGACTGCTGAGGCGGATAAGGCTGATGAATACGTAAAGGCTAGGTGGTAATGGGGAGGTGGAGGGCACGTAAGACGGCTGCAAGAAAGAAGTATGGCAGAGAAAGAACCATTTAAAATGAGGAGCTCTAAGATGATAGGCTGAAAGAGAAGGTGTTTTGCTGTGCTATTGGTTGATTAACTGATGACTCAATTGACCTACTCAGACAATGACACCTAGAGATAATGAGTGAGCATACGTGCAAGGAGTGAATGACAGGATGAGAACAAAATTTACAGCCTGAGCATGAAAATGATTGTCTTCCTGACTGAACTTTTGCTAGAGCTTAATGTAGCTGGCACAGTTTCCATAAAACTACTTACTAGGTGTCCATTGTCAATTTATAACGGACACCCTGCAGCCAATCAGAATCGAATATTCACCAGACCATGTTATAAATACTAAAGAAAACATACTTATTATATTATGTTCCATTTCTGCCAATATATCCCAATAAATCTTACACACTAGAGCTTTAAGAGATGTTCTATGATACACACACTGATTTTGAAAATATTATTTTAAAGGGTATCTCATCCTTATGCAAACCTTCCTCTGTGTGTCTCAGGACAACAGTCGTCGCCGTAGCAGCGTTCCTGGATGCCTTTCAGAAGGTGGCCGACCTGGCGACCAACAGCAGAGGTACAGTGGAATGACGTCCGTCTGTCTGTGTTGGTGTGGATGTGTCCTTCTGTTCAGTGTCTCATAATGGAAGTATTTTTCTTGTGTATTTGCCTCAAAGCTGTTGATGCTTCATATGATCAGGAATTAAACTGGTGGTGGAGAAGCTGTATAATGATGGAAGTTGTTGGACTTGTCCCTCCGTTGTGTAGTTGCTGCAGCACCTTGTAGCCTTGGCAGTCGAGCCTTCAGCAGTTGTTCGCCTGATAAATTTGGAAGCTTAACTCATTGGCTTGCTTTGTTTTTTTTTTTTAATCTACTTTCTGTCGTTACATTTGTGTGATATGCATAATTCACTTATTATTTGTAACCACTTATCCTGTTAGGGATCACAGGGGGCGCTGGAGTCTATCCCAGAGGGGGGGTACATCCTGGACAGGTTGCCAAGCTATCGCAGGGCTGACATATCAGCCCTGTTTCCACCAAGCAGTCTGGTATGGTTCAGTTCAGTTCAGTATGAATTTTTTCCATTTCTACTATGAAAAGTTGTGGATCGTATCAATTGAAACGTTCCTTACCGTTCCTAACGTCGTAACTCAGGAACAGAAGGGGAAATATTTGGTCAGATCCTGAATTGGTGAGAGAAACTTGACTGGTGCATGAAGGCATACAACCGCAGGGTGTACATTCGAGTTTTGTTTTTTATTTCATTTTGACTTTGATGTCTCTTCCTGGATTGATGAGGATGAATTGATTTAGATGAAGCAGGAAGGCTTGATTGGCATCCCTGTTTGTTTGTGTGTTCACTGTGTGTTTCATGTTGTTATTGTTCAGTTTGAATCTCTCTGATAACCTTCAAGGTAACTCAGTTTTTCATGTGTGTATTTTGTTTTGAGAAACTTTATCTTTAAGGATGAATGTGAGTGTATTTCTGTGTGATCGTGCTTGTGTGTGCTCATGTGTGTGTGCTTGTCCAGTGGGATGTAGTCCAGCTTCCTGTCAAGGCGACTTGTTGTCGCAATGACAACAGTAGCTGAGGAAATGATCAGTCAATGCTGTGATGATTCTGGGGTTCTGGGTCACAGCCACTCTGTAATTGACTGTGTGTGTGTGTGTGTGTGTGTGTGTGTGATAGCTATTACACCTGGAACAGTGCAGTGTGCACAATTATTGGTTTCTTTCAGCTACTGTTGGGACAAGTAGAAGTTTGTGGTGCCACAGCCCACCGTCCCTGACTTCCTCCTCTAATCCTGTCTCCTAGAAATGACGTGATATACTATTTATTATTGTATAGTTCTCCAACAAGTGCTAATTGTTTTCACAGTTATGTTGTGTTGACGCTGCTTGTAGTTTCACTCAGACACTTTGTATTGTGTCTAAAGTCAGACTCTACTGAATAATTTGAAGCTTCATTCATAGCATTTACATTTATATTCTAAATTAAAGATTGTCTGTTTTTTCTTTAATTTTCTTCTTGCATGTCTATTCATTCTGTTCAAACCTGGTATTTTTACACAGTTTCAGATAAATATTAGGCTACTGTAATATTGTTGTTATCAGACTAATTGCAGAATTAGATTCCATAGATGGCTGCGTAGAATTTTGTTAGACTCGTGTTATCCAAACATTTCCAGTGGATCTAGAGCGTTGTAAAGTCCAAAGTCAAAATTTATAGAAAAAAGACTGATGCCAACATTTCTCAAAGTACACAACATGTTTTTATCTAAATGAATAATCTGCTTCAGTCCATATTTGTTGGTGTTTAGAAAACATTTACAAAACATTTTCACTGTGGTGAAAAAACTGTTTCCTGCTCTCCTGCCTACCGCACACATATGGAGACATGCAGCTGTCTTAATGGAATGGTCTGGCAGCACCATGAATTATATTTCATTTTTTTAATCTTTTTTTATTCATTGTAAGAAAGCTGAGCCAGTAAAATAGACTTGGTCATTACTCATTGTGGAATGGCTGGGGTTCAGGAGGTAGATCGGATCATCCACTAATTGGAAGATCAGAAGTTCAATCCCTGGCTTCTCCAGTCCTCATGTTGGCAAGATGCTGAACCCCAAATGCTGTTCCACTGGTGTATGAGAGCATATAAACTGAGTAGCAGGTGGCACCTTGTTTGGTAGCCTCGGCCAACAGTGTGTGAATGGGTGAATGTGATGCTGTAGTGTATTATGGCCTGACGCAGCGCCATGCTGTGTCTGCTCGGATCGTTAATGACAATGATTACGTTTACCTGCACACCATATTCCTGTATTATTCGGAATATCCTCAATGTTCCGGTTGCGCACGAGTCATGTAAACACGTGCATAACCTGATTAAGGTCATAGTCCGGTTGGAGAATATTCCGAATAAGACCCCAGGCATATGCCTGTTTTAACCAGAATATTGTGACATATATTCACCTTAATCGGAAAATGCCCCGTACCGGAATATTCAGTAACGCCTGCGCATGCTCGATTCGTGAGAAATCCTGGGTTGTTGGTGTTGTTATGGTTATGGCAAGCAGGGAGAACAGCAGAACTGGCTTCATACCTTCATCCACAGACTGCTGGCATGAACGGCATAAGCTGGAAGGAAAGGTCCATACACTTGTTTGCCTTTTCTTCTCGCTCTCGTCTTTCATTGTTGAGGACAAAATGGATCAGCAGGAGTGTTGTAATTAAGTTGTGGTGCAAAAGCGCAAGTAGGACAACATAGGGGTATGTCGGAAACAAATATTACAGCTTCTGTTCATTGTAAATGCATCTTCTTCTTCTTCTTCTTCTTCTTCTTCTTCTACTACTTCTACTACTACTTCTTCTGTATTCCCAGTAGACCAGATGCCTATAGGCGTATCGCTGCCCCCCGCAGGTTGAGTGTTGCATTAAATCAGAGCGTTTCTGGTAACAAAACATTTGCAGGAACTTGTTGTGGAGGATTCAGTGACTTGCATGGTTTTCATGCAGTACTTCAAATGTAGCTCCTGCCATCTGGTGACACTTTTGACATAACAACAAAAACAGTTCAGCTGGATTGCAAACACCCACAGTGACAGAGCAATAATACTAAAAAAAAAGGGAATAACAATGACATCAAACATATCGTGAAAGACGACCAGCGTTGATTGGTTGTGGACCAAGGTGTAGTCTGTCATGTCTGTCAGTCACAACAACATCTTATGACTCCACAATTATGGAATCTACCAACCACTGTCGAAACGGACAAGCATGCTGTGTAGTCTGAACCTGGCATTAAAGCATTTTTAGTAGTCAGAAGACTAGGAAGGCACTATACAAGTGCAGGTTTATTGACCAATTTCTGAAGATTTTGATATAAGGATTTTTTATTTTGTTTTTGATGTAAAAAAAAATATGACAACAGACATTCAAGGCTTTGTTTGAAAAACTCAGTAAAAGCTTCAAGTGGGAAAAGTGACATTCAGTGCAGGCCTCATGGTCACTGCAGACGTTTTTTGTATTAAACCAGACAATGATCTTTGTAGCGAGCGCTGCCAGTGCCAGTTAAATTATGCTGTGTTGATAAGGAGCAGATGTATTGAAAGGTCGGTTATTCTGGGGAAAACAAATAAAACACATGGTCAGGAAACATTTTACTGATTTGTTCAGTATCAACATTATTGCAACTTGCCTGATATGTTGATTGACGTCATAATTATCATCATGTTGATAGACACTGAACATATGTGCTGTTGCCAATTACAGTAGTTGTTTTTAAGGGTGCTTTCAGACCTAGTGTTGGCATTGGTCCGAATCAGGGACTAATTATGTTACAAAGTTTCATAATTGCCTAAAGTTGATTTGTTTGACCAGATCAAATGCTTTGGTCACTTGGTCAGAATGTCCATGCAGGAAAAACCCTGGAAGTAAACAAAACAAGAAGAGTACACTTGCAAGATAAATACGATACTTTCTAATGTCACATTGTCGCGAGTGACAACCACGCGGGCTGATTTTAGCACTGGTCATCGTGTACTATATTGCTTGCATTGTTCATTTTAGGCAAACCATACAGTTTGAAAACAAGGCGTGGCTCCAACTAGAAAACAATGTTTTGATGCATTGGATGCATAGACTTCACAGGGGTTTTTTCTAATCTTTGATCTTTAATTATGAAAAACTGAATAATTTGTGAGGAGAAATAGCTTCACTTTATTAATGAGTCAGAGGTTTAAAGGGCCCTATACATGCTGCATTTTTTGCACCCTCAAATTCATTGTTTTCAGTGTAGGCATGCTCAAATGCCAGAACTATGCTGTTGCGGCGTGCACATGTTCCTGAGCACCTATTTTTTTAGGGCGCAACGGCTGCGCCCTGAGATAAACCTGAGTTCAACTTTTGGAACGCAGCAGCAGGCACCGCATGTCATGTGACAAGGAACAACCAATCACAGCCGACAGATATCTTTCCCTTCTTCTGTAAATATCAATCTGTGGTAAATATGCAAAAGTTGATCATGTTAGTACAGGGCTACCCAGAGCTTTACATCTGTCCCACAGACAATAGGCCTACACACTTATAAACAGCACCTGGAAGAAGATCAGCTCTGCTCTCAGGATTTCAGGTAAATAGGCTATACGATGCTTGTTAAGGTTGCTCAGAAACCTCAGACGCAACCTGCCACTGCACTCTTGAAAGCTGGCTGAAAAAGGCACAAAAGTAGTGCCCAGTGCCCAGCCTCGTGTTTTCTAGGCAGTTGAAGACACAGCATGTGTACTGCCCTTATAAGGTTTGAATGGAACTCAACCTTTATTGGAATTTTGAGGCAAATATCAATACTGTTCCTTTAAGAGTTAAAATACACATAATAAACAAATATTTCTGATGACTGGGAACATTATAGACAGATATATAACACAAAATCAGTAAACTTTGTGTCTTCAACTGGAGTCGACTCCAGGTGTGTTGAATTGTTGAATGTAAGAGGTGATTCCTACCTGTTTACCCAGTCTGCTCAGTTTCGCCCATCTCATATACATTCAGTTGCCAGAGAATTGGAGGAGACATGGGAG